CTATGGACAGTGGAGCAACAAAATGTCTCAGGACATCGCGGTGGACTCTAAACGTCCATAATAATTTCGGACAGATATTGATAGAAAACAAAAAAAGTTATAACAAATTGGCTATTTATGTTTAACAGTTCAAAGGAAATGTGCATAAAAACAATATCATTTCAATAACTAATTATATCAACGAAGTTATTGTCTATGACCAACTCAATCTGCTTGAAGAAAAAAAAAAAGAGTAAAATAACAACATTTTGTTTACTGTTAAAGCTATTTGTTGTTTTATAATCAGGCATTTATCTGTCCTTTCATTATTATTTTCTTATTTTATCAAGGGAACAATGACCTATTTAGTAATATTGCCAAATATTAACTAAAATGTATATTTTTTATTACTATAGCTAGACCGAATAAATACATATACATAGCACAATATTGTGTCGAATCGTATAATTTTAAGCAGTACATTTAAAATAACAAATGAAAGATTTTAATTTTAATTACGGGATCGAGCTTGGGGGCTCTACCAAACCATCAAATTCCTCTCGTATCCAATCCCTACAATCCAAAATTCTTGGTAAAATCCTCAATGTTCCTAAATCATCCATAAAGACCTTAATGTACCATATGTTTCCGATTTAGCTCAATCCAGATACATATACTTCCATAATAAACTTCTGAACCATCCGAATCCTCTTGTTTCCAACATTGCTTCCTCTTCTATTCCTGATAACTCTCCGAGGCGTCTGAAAAGAAGATGGCCTCGGGACCTTCCAATATAGAAATTCAATTGGAGTGCTATAAATGGGTAGTTTCTCTTCATGTTGTACATGTAATGTAACTTGTTTCATATTTACTTGTTTTTTTTTTTTTATCATTTAATACAGTTGTTAATTTCAATAATAATAATAATAAAATTAATTTTATAACTTTTCATGATAAAAAAAAAAAACTACATCTGTGTACAAAATAAAAATAGTTCAAATCAGAAAAGATATAAGACCTTCTTTATAAAATTCTGTAGAAACTAAATGTGTCATTAAGATAGGACGAACCCAAATGTATAAAACAAAATAATTGGAATACAATATGCTTTAAATAAAAGAACCATAATAATAAAAGATCAAAACAGCGAACAGAGCCAATCAAACAACTAACTTTCAATGAATAAAACTTATTTTGACAGCTCAGACTTCATCAAATCTCACTCAAAAGCGTTCCTTTTTGGTGGCTTACTGTATCTTCACTTTGAGTACGAATTCAAAAATTTGTTTTCGGTGTCTAATGGCATCATTTTCTCTGTTAAATGATAAAAAAAAATCTAGCTTTCTAGCATTTATAGAAGTGAAAGTATGGCAATTCGAAACTGAAACCAAAATAGCTGATTTTTTTTTTAATTTAGAATTTCTGGTGGATTTACCATATTCTACGTTCGAGAAAACGTATTTCTTATATATTCGTATCAACATTATCAGATAGGTTAATGTATTTAATAATTTAAAATGTTATAAAACCATTTCGATAAGAAGTAAATTTTTTTTATTGATAAAAATTGAAACTTGCTCATACCAGAGGTTCCAGGATTAAAATCTACTAGTTGACTTCGTGCGAATACTCCGCACAGACCTAATATTTATTATTATAGTTTATTATTTACCATTATCGGTCGTATATTATATCTCTGATTGTATTTTAAAATTTTCAGCCCTGAAGATGACCCACATGTTTGGGTTGAAGCGTTGGCACAAATAAAAAAAAATGTATAATGACTGCGTCCTGACAATATTATCACCCGACTAGCAATCCTTCAATAACATATTATTATATTTAAAAAACAATTATTAATTGATGCATTTTATACTGTACCCCACAAAAAAAGACCAATCCCCTCATGCAACAGAATCTTTGTCAGTACAACAAACACTAAATGATCAGAACGCTAATACTCTGCTGGGAATTCAGTAAGCCCATGTATAATTTACCAACAATTGGGTACTTTTCGAGTTATTTGCAGATTATGAATTCATTTGTAACGTCTCGATTCGGTTAGAGGGTACCATCATATGGTTTGAAACCTCCCACTTTTACATTTACTTTTATTTAAATCCTGGTAAAAATTACGAATCTTCGAACTCTAAGAGGTATTTCCTTTCTATTGATACCTCATTCGTCAAAATCCACCACTCCTGAGAGCCGGGAAAGGGATATATATTTGAGAAATAATATATAAGATATTCACGATATTACTACTTAATTATACATGTAATTCAATTATAATGAATGAAAAAATATTTTATTATTCTGGGATTGTTGTCCCTTTAGAAGAAATTATAAATACAGATTGTATGTCTGTGTGGTTACAATTAGTATTGTTATAATGGCAAGTTTACACATACACATTAAGAAATAATGAAGAGAAGAATAGTTGGGGTGCTCAGTCAAAAAAGGAAGGCAAAAAATAAATTATAATATTTATTTTTTACACATGCCGACGTTTCGACCTGAAGTTCAGGCCATCATCAGGGCTTTCTCCTCAAGTGTCAAGGTGAGAATGAACGATTGAATGATTCTCACCTTGACACTTGAGGAGAAAGCCCTGATGATGGCCTGAACTTCAGGTCGAAACGTCGGCATATGTAAAAAATAAATATTATAATTTATTTTTTGCCTTCCTTTTTTGACTGAGCACCCCAACTATTCTTCTCTTCATTATCCACGACAGTCAACCAATTACAAATTATGACATTAAGAAATAGTTTAATACTTTCTGCATATTTAACGTCAGGTTCGGATGAAGGGAGGAGCATCAGGTGAAAAAATGAGAACGGAAGCATCACGCGTGGACGAGAAGAGAAAGTATTAAGAAATTAATTGACGATGAAAGAAAAAAAAAAAGAAAAATAATATAGCCTCATTTATTTTTCGCTTGTTGATTCCAAGCGAAAAGAATAAATAATTTGCGTGCTACAAAATCGATGTCTGTTCAATCGACGATCGGAGGGTGTTGCCGTATATTCTTAAAATTTATGACTGTAAAATGAAATGGAATTTTCAAAATAATAATGAAGGTAGAGAGAGGTGGGCCTATAAAAACAATAACAGGTCAATACTCCCCCATCGGGGGGAGGAGGGGAGGATGGGCCTAATGGAATCGTTTTGTACACTCAAATGGAACATGACCAAAAAGCGATCCTAATTCAAATTTCGTCAAAGCTGGACGTTTTAATAAAATAATTTAAATTATTCAAAGTCAATTTGAATGTGAAAATCGATTTAGGCATGATGCCCTTTTTATAAGAATACTAAACGCTTTGAAATTTTTGAGATTCGTAGGTGATTCACAGATAAT